TGGGGCGGTGAGGAGCTGAGGAGGAGGAAGCCCTAGGGGGGGGGGAGGCCCGCTGAAGTCCCCCCCCCGGGAAGGGAAGAAAGGGCAGCTTTGCTGGGGGGATTCTCAGGATTGGTACCCCATGGCCCTTCACTACCCGGAGGTGTCTCAGAGCGGCTCACGAGCTCCTTTCCCTTCCCCTCCCCACCACAGACAGACACCCCCTGCGAGGGGGGCGGGGCTGAGAGAGCTCTTGACAGAAACGGCTCTTTTTCAAGAACAGCTCTTATCAGAACTACGGCTTGCCCAAGGTCATCCAGCCAGGTGCACGTGGAGGAGGAGTGGGGAATCAAGCCCGGCTCTCCCAGATTAGAGTCCGCCTGCACTTCACCACTACGCCAAACTGGAGAAGAAGAAGAAGAAGAGATTGGATTGATACCCCATGGCCCTTCACTACCTGAAGGAGTCTCAGAGCGGCTGACAAACTCCTTCCCCCCCCCTCCTCCCCTGGCTGCTCTCAGGGGAGGGCAGAGTGGTGCCGCTTGGGTGCCAGAGTCCCAGGCAGCACAGCAGCCGGCCCGTGCCCAGCATGCCCGCGGAGTGGCTCAGGATGGGGCCTGGAGCCATTTAGCAGCAGCAGCAGCAGGGCGGCAATTCCGGCTGACTGTCGGCAAGGGCACCCTGGAGCCCCGGGGCGGCTGCAGGAGCAGGAGCAGCAGCAGCACCAGCCGCCATGCCGTGCAGAGGGAAGCAATTGTGGCCGGCCCTGGCTGAGAGAGCAGAACCACAGCCGAGGGGAGGGAGGCCGGGAGAGGAAGCTGTGGCTGGCGGGGTGCGCTTGCGAGAGGCACACGCCACAGCTGGCTCTTCCTCCGGGGAAGCCTCTGGATCTCTGCCAGGCCTGAGGCCAAACGTTGGACTGGCTGGCCACCCAAGGCAGAGACGGTGCGCCACGGGTGCAGAAGAGGGTCCCGGCCGCCTTGGGGCATTTCTGGCCGTGGTTCCAGCATCCCCCCCCCTCCCTGGCCTTGGCAGAGAGGGGGCTGGGCAGGCTCCTCTCGCTGCTTTAAAGAGAGGCCAGAGGAGACCAGGCGGCGGGTGGGGTGGGAGGGGGGCCCCGGGGCCTCCGACAGAGCAGCGCAGCCGGCCCTTGGGTCCCTCTGCAGTTCCCCACTCCCGCCGGGCCTGGGCCTGGAGAGCCCCGTGTGTGTGTGTGGGTGGGGTGTGCGTGTGGGTGACGTGGGCCTCCTGCTCTCCTTGCAGAGGTGGACCGGATGGTGCAGCGCTTCTCCCACAAGACGGCTTCCAACTACAGCGTGTTCCTGGTGGACCCGGCCTCCCGAGCGCTCTATGTGGGAGCCAAGGACGCCATCTTTGCCCTGCCCTTGGACGGCATCAGCCACAGAAGCCGGATGGTGAGCCGGACTTTGAGGGCCCGGGGGCCCAGTCCCCACCCACTCACGTCTCGCCGCCTCCTTGCCTGGGGGGGGGCGTGCCTCTAGGGCCTGGCCAGGCCAATCTTGGCAGGAGGGTGGTGGGCATCCCGCCCTCTGGGAGCGTGCAGAGTGCTCTTGAGACCAGACCCATGCGCTCCCAGCCATGGACTTGCTTCTCACTGGTCCACCCAGAGGTCCAGCCCATATACCGCCTTCCCGTGGACCAAGATCCTGCATTCTAGATTGGTGGTAACCAGATCTTTTAAGTCAGGGAGGGAAAGCCGGAGTGAAGAGCAAAGGAGAGGAGGGGCCTTGGCTGGATCCCGGGATGGAATTTGATCAGCAATTAAAGAAAGCAGAGCAAAAAACAAAGGCCCGGTACTCAGGTTTCCCGCTTACGGTGAGGAAGCCGCAGAGAGGAAATGCAGAGAGCTGGGGGAAGCCCTGGACTCCAACGAATTAAGGAAGCGGCTTTCCAAGTTCCTCAGGAACTGGAAAAGGGGAAGCGGGAAGCCAGTTCCTGCCTCCCTCCCCTCCCCAATTCGCCCCTGTGGATCCATCCCCCCCCTCTGCCCTCTTCTGGGCTGGGCGGGGTCTCCCAAGGGGGGGGGCTTCGCAGGGTCCTCCTGGGCAGCTGCTGTGGGTTGGGTTGGGGGGGGTGTCGTCCCCCCAGGGCCCCAAGGCTGTCCTTGTCACACCTGCCGGTCTCCCCAGCCCCCCCCTCACAGGCTTCTGTGCCCTGTCCAAGGGGGCTGGGGAGGGGCGCCCGCAGCCTCCCCAGACGGGACACCTGCCTTCTCCTAACCCTAACCCCCTGTCTTTCAGGTCCCCTGGACTGTGCTTCAGAACCCCCGGAACTCCTGCAAGATGAAAGGCAAGAAGGAGGCAAGTGGACGTGGCCGGGGAGTGTGGGCGCGGGGGCCCCCTCTGGAGGCCTGCTGTGTGTGTGTGTGGGGGGTCGGCATTCTGTGCCTGCTGCCGGCTGACCCCGTCTCATGGATGCTGCCGCCCGCCGCCTGCGGTCCCTGGGGCATATGCCTGTGGGGTCTGAGTGCCGCCCTGTCTCTGCCGGTCTCCCTTGGTGGGCTGGGTAGGGAAGGCTCCCCTCCCCTCCAGTGGCAAACACGCTCCGCCTCCGAGCCAGGGGGCCGCGGTCTCTGGGCCCCTAAGCTCCTGCCTCCCCACGGGGCCTCTGGGCTCCTCTCTTCCCCGGTGGGTCATGTAGCGCTGCCCCTCAGGGGAGGAAGGGGAGCCGCAGTGACACGGGGGGGGGTGTTGGGCTGGGGGGGTCACCAGCCAGGCCAGAGGGGCCTCGGGTCATGGCCGTGAGCGTGCCCAGAGAGCGAAGGCAGGGCGTGCCACAGCGCCCAGCCACACCCCCCCCCTCGGGCCACGGTTTGCACCTGAGGAGGAGGACTGGGCAGCTGCCCTTCCAGCCATGGCTTCAGCACCGCCATCCCTGGTGGGGGCGGGGGGCAGGGATGAGACCGGGCGATATAATCCTGGCCTCGGGATGAGGGGCATGAGACGCTGGGTCCTGGCCTCAGGATGAGGGGCACGAGATGCCTGGAACGTCGGGAAGCCGGGCGGCGTCCTGAGCGGGGGGTGGTGGTGGTGCTGATGGCCGTCGTCTTTCCCCAGGCCGAGTGCCACAACTTTGTCCGGATCTTGGAGTTTGCCAACAGGACCCACCTCTTCGTCTGCGGGACTTTTGCCTTCGACCCGCAGTGCGGCTTCATTGTGAGTGGCACCCCTGAGGCCGGGGGTGGGGGTGGGTTTCTGCAGCTGCGGTTCTCCCGCCCGCCGCAAAGGGGGCAGGGCTGGGGGGGGGCTCTCCTTCTCCTCCTCCTCCTCCTGCCTCTCCCGCTTGCCGGGGGCTTACGAGTGGGGCAGCCCAACCCTGACCCTGGTCTCGCCCCTCGAAGAGACCGAGGGAGGCATCAGCCACGCCAGGTCTAGCGTTTGGCCAGCTCTTTCCTGTGCTCACTGCCACGGACCGTGGAAACGCTGAAGGGCTAACCGGGCAGAGTCGTTGGCTCCCAGCCTCCTCTTCAGTGGCAGCTCCGGGTGCCAGGAGCAACGGGGCCTGGGCTGCTGCTGCTGCTGGGGGCTGCCTTATGGGGGGGAGAAGGGGGTGACTTCTCCCCCGTGGCCCACCTCCTCTGCGAGTGACGGGAGCAACCTTTGGTCTCTTGCAGAAAGCGAGCGATTTCCGCAGTGTGGAGAGCCCGGAGAGCGGCAGAGGGAAGTGCCCGTTTGAGCCACTGCAGCCGTCCACGGCCGTCATGGCGGGTATGCGCTTGGGGCGGGGGGTGGGGTGGTGGCGGTGGCCCTTAGCACCGGGAACCTCCTGGCAAGGGCCCAGCCGATCAGTCCGGGCACCTGCGGCACACGCCAGCCTCAGGCCGGAGGGGCCCCTCCCTTCCCTGCTGACCTCTGGGGCTGCTGCAGACGGCTGATGGTCCTGCGGCCCCTCCCCCGGGGATTAAACCGCTGCTGCCCATCCTTACGTGTGAAGGACGCCAGCCAGGAGGATCCAGGGAAGAGGGGGGTGGGGTGGGTTTTCTTGCTCAAGGGGGGAGGAGGAGGAGGCAGCTTCTCCAAAATGCTTCCTCCAAGCTGTGGAGCCTTGTGAGTGAAAATTCCACTTTGTGAGCTCCGGGCATTAAAGTTGGGTCCGAGCGATTTGCCTGGTGCATCAAACAGTTTGCTCTGGAGCCCCATCCTTCCTGAGCTAAGACAAAAATGTGTGAGCCGGAGGCTAAAACACTGTGAGCTAGCTCACACTAACTTGGCTTAGAGGGAACACTGCTCCTGACTCCAATCAGAAATCTTCGGGGGGGGGGGGCTACTTAAATAACAAGCAGACAGTCTGGTAAAGTGGTTAGAGTTCTGGATGAATGCTGGAGAGACCCCAGTTCAAACGCTTACTTGCCACAGAACTTTCTGGGTGCTCTTGGGCCAGTCATTCTTTCACCCCCTAACCTACCTCACAGAGTTGTTGTGAGGGAAAATGGGAGAGGGGAGAGTGTCAGAAGAGCCCTGCTGGATCAGGCCAGTGAGGGTCCCTCTAGTCCAGCATCATAAGAACATAAGAGAAGCCAATGCTGGATCAGGCCAATCTAGTCCCACACTCTGTCACACAGTGGCCAAAAATACCAGGTGCCCTCAGGAGGTCCAGCAGTGGGGCCAGGACACCAGAAGCCCCCCCCATACTGTTTCCCCCCCCCAAGCACCAAGAATACAGTGCATCACCTGCCCCAGCCTGAGAGTTCCTGTCTATACCTTGTGGCTCATAGCCACTGATGGACCTCCGCTCCATATGTTTATCCAGTTCACTCTTGAAGCCGTCCTTGCCTGTAGCCGGCACCACCTCCTGTGGCAGTGAATTCCATGTGTTAATCACTAATCCCATGTGTTAATCACATCCCATCTCAAAGACAGCCAACCAGTCCCTCTGGAGGGCCAACAACAGGGCAGAGAGGCCGAGGCCTTCCCCTGATGAGAGCGTCAGGAGAGCCCTGCTGGGTCAGACCAGAGAGGGTCCATCCAGTCCAGCCTCCCGTCTCACACAGGGGCCAGCCAGTCCCTCTGGAGGTCCAGCAACAGGGCAGAGAGGCCGAGGCCTTCCCCTGAGAAGACCCTCAGAAGAGTCCTGCTGGATCAGACCAGTGAGGGTCCATCTAGTCCAGGCTCCCGTCTCACACAGGGGCCAGCCAATTGCCCTGAAGGGCCAAACAAGCCAAGCACAGAGGTCAAGACCGGCCCCTGCTGCTGCTGCTGCTGCTGCTGCTCAGAGGTTTGCTGTCTCTTCCTCACCCTCAAGACCGGCCCCTGCTGCTGCTGCTGCTCAGAGATTTGCTGTCTCTTCCTCACCAACCTCGAACTTCATCTGCCCGTCGTTGGCCACTTGTCCAAGTGAGAGGGGGGGGGAATCATCTGGGAGCTCTTTGCAGTCTGCCCGAGTTCTTTGCTCTTGCCTGCGACCTCTCTGGGCAACCTGTACTTCATAGTTCTGTGTGTCTGTGTCTGTGTGTCTGTGTGAAGAGCCGCCAAGTCGCCTCCAGCCTACGGTGACCCTGTGAGTGGGGGTGGCCTCCAGTGCGTCCTCTTTCTAACAGCCTTGCCCGGGCCTCGCAGCCCGAGCGGGCCCCTCTGTGGCTTCCTTGATTGCGCCAGTCCCGTCTCAGGGTGGGTCTTCCCCTTCCCCTGCCGCCTTCAGTTTCAGTCGACATCGTTGTCTTTTCCAGGGAGTCTTGTCTTCTCGTAATGCAACCAAAGTCCCATCGCCTCGTTAGTCATTTTAGCCTCTAGGCTTGAGTCCAGGCTTGATTTGGTCCAGGACCCACCGATTTGCCTTTCTTGGCGGTCCCCGGGATCTGCAAGACTCTCCTCCGACACCACATTGCAAAGGAATCAACGTGTCCAACTTTCACACCCGCCTAAAGGGGGGAATCCCGTGGCTTGCATTACCTGGGCGCAGCCTTTCCTCTTAGAGGAGTTCCTTCTGGCTCCTCCGTGGGGCCGCCCTTCCCAGTCTCAGTCCTTTCAGTCGACGATGGAGCCAAGGAATAGGGGAATCTTCAGTAATTTCAGTTTCTTCATTGTCAGTCTTAAAGCTGTTGAATTCCTCAGTAGCCGTCAGTTCTGTCTTCTTGATGTCCAGCTCTAATCTTTCTTTGGTACTTTCTGCTTTAACCTTCATCTGTAGTCATTTCGAGTCTTTACTGTTTTCTGCCAGTCATGTGGTTTCATCTCCACAGCTCAAGTAGTTCATGTTCCACCGATTTTCACTCCACCCTTACCTAAATCTAGACTAACTTCCTGTATGTTCAGCATACAGATTGAATGGATAGGGGGATAAAACATGTTCCTGTCTGACACCTTTGCCAGTTGGAAACCATTCTGTTTCTCCATATTCTGTCCTAACGGTAGCCTCTTGTCTGGAGTACAGGTTGCTCATCAGAACAATCAGACGTTGCCCTGACCCGGCTAGACCAGGCCAGCCTGATCTCATCAGATCTCGGAAGCTGAGCTGAGCTGACCCTGGCAAGCACTCGGATGGGAGACCTCCAAGGAACAGCAGGGCCCACGGGACGCAGAGGCAGGCAGTAGCCAAGCCACTTCTCTGAAATGTCCAAGCCCCACGAGGGGTTGCCAGAAGTCAACCATGACTTTCAGGCACACACTCACACACACAAAATACCAAAAGAGGGGGGGGGGAATCAGACGTTGTGGGACACCTGGTTTTTTGTTGTTTTTTAAACCAGCTGGGCTTGAAAGTTTGCTGTAATCTATGAAACACAAGCTGATTTTCTTCTGAAATTCTTCTAACCATCGTAAGTTTGCAAAAAGATCTCTAGTGCCTCTTCCTTTTCTGAATCCAGCTGGAACATCTGGCATTTCTCGTTCTATTTTTGATGAGAGTTTTTGCTGTAAAATGTTGAGCATCACTTTTGCCTACATGGGAAATTAATGCCACGGCCCAGTAGTTGCCGTCACCTCTGACATCTCTTCTTTTTGGAATTTTAATGCAGACTGGACATTTTCGATCTGTGGACCGTTGTGTTGTTTTCCATCATCTTTGGCCTCGTCTTCCTAAGACTTTGATGGGCTCCATTTCTGTCGCTTGGAATGGCTCCGGTGGTTTGTCTCTCCCAGCTGCGTTGAGGGCTGCTCTCTCTTTGTTTTCTAAACGTGCAGGCTCTTCGTCAAAAGATGGTTCCTGGAAGGAATCTGTTTTCATCTCTTCTGGATGACTCTTCAGTGTTTTATTTCCCTTTTTATTTTCTCCCGATCAGATGATGCATTTCTGTGCTTTCCGCACCCCTAGCCTTCTGAAGTGCCTCCGTGACGCGCCCCCCCCCCACTGAGCTGTGTCCCTCGCGACGGGATGGTCTCGATGCCAGTCAGTCTTTCCCTGAGCCTGGCCAGCCTTCCTGGATTGTGGGCCTGGGCAGAGCAGGACTGGGGCAGGGGCTCCGGAGGCCCCTCACCAAGGGTTCTCTCCCCCCCCCCAAATCCTGCTCTCTGCTCTGGCTGCTCTTCCCCGTCTTCTCTCTGGCCTGACTCTGATCTTCCACCTGTAGGCTTAAATTGGACACACACACCCGCCCAGCCCACACAGATGGAAAGCGGTGCAGTTTGGTGGTCTCACTTGTCTTCTTCAGTTTTGTTTTTCTCTTGATATGCGCTGCTGTGGCTGACAGACACTTCTGGGGCATGGCTGAACGGTGAGTCGGCCGCGGCCAGCCCCCGGGGGGGGGGGGGGGCGGCCAGGGAGGCCCCTCAGAGGGGAAGGAGCCCAGTGGCAGACGCCAGCTCCCCCTCTGCCTCCCCCTCCCCCAGACCCTGAGTTTGTGGCCTCGGCCTTCGTGCGGGAGAGCAGGGACGGCGATGATGACAAGGTCTACTTCTTCTTCACGGAGACGGCTCGGGAGTATGACTTCTATGAGAAGGTAAAGGTGGCCCGCGTGGCCAGAGTCTGCAAGGTAGGCCAGGCCTGTCGCCGTGCCCTCTGGAATGGGACGGCTTCTTCGGGGGCGTATTCTGCCCTGGCACCGAGCTGTGGGGGGTGTTCCACGTGGAGAGGGCCTCTTTCCCCCACCCTTTTTTTGTGCATAGCCCCTTGAATGTCCACTTGTATTCATGAAATGTACACGCACCAGCCCCCCACCTCCCCTTCACACACACACCCTGAGCACAGTCCACTCTCTGTGTGTCCCTGTGGGCCACCCCCACCACCCCAGCCCTAGGAGGGGATGCCCCCTCCTCCTCCCCCCTTCCCACTCATGATTGCCGCTCCGCCTCCAGGGGGACTTGGGAGGCCAGAAGACCTTGCAGAAGAAGTGGACCACCTTCCTGAAGACTCGCTTGGTCTGCTCGGACCCGGAGACCGGAACAGTCTTCAACCTCCTCCGAGACATGGTCGCTCTGCCCTCCACCAATGGGACGGGCACCGTCTTCTACGGCGTCTTCGCAGCCCAGAGGTGAGTCTGGCCACCCAGCCCCCCCCTGGGGGGCCCTCTGTGTGTGTGTGTGGGTGGGTGGGGGAGGGTCTGGGTGG